CCTTCCTTCTTCTTAAGTTCATTGGGTTGACCACCTTGGATGGCCTTGGAAAGTATACAGTCTCTTACAAAAAAAATACGAAGAACTATAGAACTGCTTCTAGAAGTTCCTTGTTTATCATCACGGTATCACCATAGATAACTAATTGTAGTGTAAACACAATTTAAGTTTATCAGATCTGTGATGCAAAAATCTGGATAAGCTCTAGAAGGCAGCAAAGAATTGCAGACTTTTTGCTTCCATCTAATGCAATCTGGAGTTTCGCGGCACGAGTATCATATGTGTAGGTAACTGGCTATTGGACTTAGAACGTGTGTTCACACATCTCTGTGCTAAGATTTGTTTCAATCAAATATCCCACAAAAGCTAAGAAAAATAAACCCCAAAGAAATAAACTGCCTTCCTTCTCGCTGCAGATCTTGACCATCACATTAGCTGTTTGGAATATTGGTTGGCGGTTCTGGCAAATACTGTCCAATTCAAAAGATTGGATTGGACTTCTGTGCATACATAACGCTGGACTTATTTTGCATGGGTTTATTTCTTTTTATTGCTTAGCTCTCCCTATTGCTCACGGATGGGCATTTCATTAATCAAGAATGCGTTGATTTTTATAACGATTAAGAGTATAGAATCTTCTGTTGTACTGCTGTGTGTACTTCTGCATTATCAGCATAGTCTGGCAGTGGCTCTACTGCATTGCAGACCAGACTCTGTACCATTCTCACCGGGGGGGGGGGATATCAATCTAAGGTCTTTTGTGTATAAAGGTTCTGTTCTACCACAGTTCTCCAGTCCAGATTTTGATGGAATATTTGCTCTGAAGCTAAGAAGTGCTTTTTGGAATCATAACATTCTTGCTCATGTCTGTGTCAGTGTGCATTCCTCCTGACCTTGAAATGTCAGAAAAATAGGTCAACAGACATTACACTGGGAACAAACTTGTGATTGATGCTGACGTTACAATTCGAATGCAGGACAATTTAAGGGCAGAGTTTTTGCAGATTCTTCTGGCCGTGTTTCCTCTTTCAACCAGCTTCATGGGCCATAAGGAAAAGCAGCCACCAGCTGCTTCCTTAGCGTGAGGTTAGATGGACTTGGGTATCTGGGAGGGTACCATTCAAACTGTTTGAGCGACTGGCGTCATACTTTTCTTTAGTAGTGACGTACCCCTTGAGCTATTTCTGAATGTTGACATGGTGTCTTCCAAAAGAGGGCTACATCCACACTCAGATAATCTAAGTGTCAAGTTATATAGCACAATGGATTGTTTGCAAAGAGAATCAGGCAATATCCTTTGATACCAGGGGTATCAAACTCAATTTCATTGTGTGTGGCCAGGTTAGGTGTGGCCTACTGGGTGGGCATGGATGGAATGGGTGTGGCCTACTGGATGGGCATGGCCAGCTCTACATCATTCACGTCAAGGGTGCCTGTGGGGGCCTGGGCAGGACAGATCTGAGGGTCTCTGGCAGAAAGGGGTGGGACCAGGGCAGAGCCCATCAAGCCGGATATGTGAAGTAGGCGAGGGCCATTTGCTGGCCACTTCCAGGCGATGGTGCATTTCTTCATTCCTCACAAAGGGTGACCCCTCCCCAGCATGCACCCAGGGGACGGGGCCAACGCGGCAGGGGCTGGTTCCTCGCTGATTAGAGACGATCTTGTGGAGCTAAGACTGAATGCGTTTCAGCATAGATGGCCACCACAAAATTGTACATTGGCTCCCAGCCAGCCTGGGCCAGGGCCAAGGCAGCAGGGGCCGTTCCCTCACTGTTTCCAGGATGGCTTCACGGGCCACATGAAACCACTTTGCAGGCTGCATCTGCCCCCCGGGCCTTGTGTTTGACATGTCTGCATTACACCCTTTTGCTATATACATGCCTTAACTCTGACAAAAAGAGGCAGAACGTGAGCCAATTTTGCCCCAGTTCCCATATAATTAAGTAAGGGAAGGACAGCATTGGCAGTAAGTGGCATGGCCAACAGCTCCGAGGAGGAGGTCATGGAGTAAGTACACAACACTAAATAGTATTGAGATATACGACCTTTCCCTCTTGTTGACAGAAACAATGGAAAGTGGTCATTGGCCACGGAACTGTGGAGTCCTTAGCGTTCTCTGAGCTTGGTTGTTTTCTTATAGACCTTTGATTACCCAATTAGGTAACATCATCACTGCTAGAAGGAAGCGGGGTTGCTCTCTGTCTATATCAGTGTTTCTCAACCTTGACAATTTTAAGGCATGTGGACTTCAACTTCCAGAATTCCACAGCCAGCAATGCTGGTTGTGGAATTCTGGGAGTTGAAGTCCACATGCCTTAAAATTGTCAAGGTTGAGAAACACTGGTCTATATACACATGGCTTGCCTTGATCAAGGTACTGTTTACTTGATCACGTGGGTGTTGATTGCTGGCGGAGGTGATATTGTGGTCTTTTTGTTTCCTTTTTAGCTTTTGATTATATATTTTTAATGTAGATGTTGTTTATCTCTATGCACCTGCTGATGGCTGATTTGTCTGAATGCCAGCCAGAACTCACAACACATAGCTGGCAGAATCCAGTTCATTTTAATGATTGAGATTGACCAGAACTAGTCTAGAAACTCAGGTTGAGGTTTCCCTTGACCAGGATAGTTAGTCCAGTTACTAGCTTTCAAAGCAACCTGATTCGTAGGGCTGCTTCTGTGGGGACCATCTGAGGGGAGATACCCTCACTCCCATTTTAAGGAAAGGTGCTCTGATAGTGGGGTAAATGCTGTAAATGAAAATAAATAACAAATCCAGCCAACTTAAATTAGGATATACAAGATTATATATAATTATAATGGTTAAAGACCATTCCAAACTGGTTGTGAGAATTCCAGACTGGTTGTGACCATTCCAAACTGGTTGTGTGCCTTTAAAGTGTGCTTTGCTTTGTGTCCGAAAGTGCAATATATGCAGACCTTGGAAAGAAATATTTTAAACTGATGCGTTAAATGGAAACAAACGAAAAATCAATGATACAAAAATGCAAAATAGGAAGAAAAGGAAAAGTGGACGGAGAACCTATGCACAATCCTAACAATACAAACATCATTATATCCATTTTCAAAGGAGTACCCTGATAAAGCGGATATGTTTAGGAGTGATAGGAACATTACCTTCAAGTCAAATTATGGCCAAACTGAGAGCACAAGTAGAAAATTGAATTTTCTAAAACTAAAGGCACAAATTGTGTAAGCCATAAGATGGCTTCACTTTTTCCCCGTTTTAGTGTGTTTGGAGAACACTGCTATTAAGCTTTGTAAAACAGGCCTCATACTCAAATGTTTGTTGCAGTCCAAGAGTTTTATGGTACACATAAAAACAGGCAGAGCTTCAGTTGCCTCACTGTGTCTGTCACCCTGATTTTTTTTTAATTGTATTCAGCTGGGGAATTCTGGGAATTGAAGTTCATACGTCTTAAATATGCCAAATCTGAGAAATATTGCCATAGACTAAGGCAGGGGTAGGCAACCTCGGCTCTTTTATGAGTGCTGGACTTCAACTCCCAGAATTCCTGAGCCAGCTGTGCTGAGGGGAAAGGGAGAGGTTTCCAAGCTGAGCCATGCTGGCTCAGGAATTCTGGGAGTTGAAGTCCACGAGTCATAACAGAACCGAGGTTGCCTATCCCTGGAGTAAGGCATAGGCCCAACACAGAAGCTATAAACTTCTATTATATAATAAACTATATTAAAGTCCCTAGTGGGTAGAAAATAAAAGAATACTATTAAACATAAATCCATTAAATTAACAACTATTTTTAAAATCAGATCTACTTTCAGCATTTTATATTTGGCCTTTTTCATTGTACTCATAACATCAATATTTACTTGGTTGGTGTTGAATACCATAATAAGCATAACCTCAAATTTCATCATCTGAAACTTGGCAAGATTTATCCTCTCTGAAGAGACAAGCGTGGCTAAAAATATTTCCAATCCTGCCAAGAAATAAACATAATATTGGCAGTTAAAGGGAAAAAAAGTAGTTTAGTTTTCAATTTGGCATAGGACAACTTCTCAAAAAAGGCTATGTTTACTGCAAATCTGGGTCAATTTCAAATTCGTTTAAGAGAGAAGCAGCTCAAATGGATGGGGGCAGTTTTTCACACAAAAAACCAGCGATTTGGCGTCTTCAGATGGAGACACAAGGCAGAATTTGAATCGGGTTTAATGACAGGAGCCCGAGATGCATCTATTTTGAAGTTTATCGCCCTAGGCATCCAATCTCAACCCTCCCAACATGAAAAGGGTGAAAATATTGCATTGCGACGCCACAATGCAAGCTCCACCCTTCCCTACGCGTCTCAGGTCGTCACAACATTGCACACCGGTATATAAAAGGCGGAAATTGTGTAGCGACGGCCGAGGCATTTGTGATTTGCAAAGGAGAGAGAGCAAGTGCGGTGAGCAGCTCTCGAGTTCGCTGCATTTCCGCATTCCTGCTTTTAGCCTCTTTTGCTCAACGCTTTATTCTTTCCCTGTGGTTTCAATAATACGGTCGAGAAGGGGAACCGAAGAGAGAAATCTAAATTTATTTATGAATAAATAGTAAAGGGAACATATCCTTATAATAAAGTAATACACTGGCAGGGCGAGAAAAGCCCACGTGGCCTCTATCCCCTGCAAGGCAATGCGCACCGCTTAGAGCCCCTCCCTTTCGCCACCTAGCCCCGCCTTTTGGCAACCAAACGATCCAATCGGTGGAAACGTAAGTTAAAGGACGACTCCTTAATCCCTCATCTTCGAGTCGCTCTTTTCTGTATTGCGGCTCGCGAATGGACGAATGCCGGAGCCACGGGGGTTGAAGGCGGAGGCTTTTTCTTTCTCCCCTCCCCTCCAGCTTTGTTGGCGATCGGTTCGGAGAGCTGTCAATCTGTCTGGGGAGGTTTTCTATTGGCTCACTCAAGAAAAAAAAAAGCAAGCCGGAAAGGCGGGGACTGCGCCTCTTCGCCGAGGCTATAAAAGGCGGAGACAAAGGCGGCCTCGAGGCCGTTTTTTCTAATCTCTGCGTCTGGCGCCATTTTGTCCTTAGTCGGACTCCGAGAAGGAAAAGTGTTGCGTCGGCGCCAGGCCCCATCTTAACCGCCACCATATTCGCCATGTCGAGAGACCGTTTTCGAAGCCGTGGAGGCGGCTTCCATCGGCGCGGCGGCGGCGGAGGCCGAGGTGGCCTCCCCGGCAACCACGACTTTCGTTCTCCGCCGCCGGGCATGGCGGGCGGTATGGGGCAACCGCGCGGCGGCCACCATCATATGGGCGGCGGCGGCGGCGGCGGCGGCGGCGGCGTCCAGGTGAAGCAGGAGCCTACTAAACCGCCGAGCTCGACCTCCACTCCGCCTTCCTCCGCTGCCTCCGTTTCCGCCAGTCCGGCAAGCTCGTCGCCTTCCTTGGGGCCGAACCAGAATCAGGTCGGCGCGCCGGCCTCGACCTCGTCTTCCGCCTCCTCCGTTTCCACACCAAGTTCGGTCTCGGCACCAGCCGCCCCCTCAGGGCTCCAGAGCGGCAGCCGAGGAGGGGAGACGCAGCCGCCGCCGCCGCAGACGAACGCGCCGCCGAACCAAAGTCCCGGGCAAGGCGGTTCCAAGAAGGGACCCGGGCCTTCTCCCGGAGGTGGAGGGGGACCCACAGGTGGCCTGAAAGGAGGCCCGGGAGGGCCGCAGTCAGGAGGCGGCTCCAAGAGCAGCGGCGGCGGCGGCGGCGGGTCCGGACAGCAACACCGAGGCGGCGAAAGGCGCGGGGGGCAGCACCAGCACCAGTCTCACCATCACCAACACCCACCCCCGCCCCAATCGCAGCACCAGGGCGCGGGGGACGAGAAGATGTCCGACGCTGAGGTAAGCAGAACAACAACAACAGCGGCGGCGGCGGCCCCTCCCGGCTCTGCCTTGACACAAGATGGCGCCGGGGCATCGGCTCTGGCGCGCGCGTCCCCCGGCCGCCATCTTGGGTGCGGGAATGCGCGTGCGCGAGGGTTGGAGCGGCGGGCTGCTCCTTGCGGCGGCGGCCGAAGAACAGCGGGAGCCAGTCTGGCTGCTAAGGGGAAAAGGGCCACTTTTGTAAGAGGTGCCTCGCTGGTGTTCCCGGAACAGAGTCGGTTTGCTGGGTGCAAGTCCTGATTTTTGCTATGTTAAAGTCAGTAATGGCAGCATCTTTGATCGCAGAGATCAGAAACGGCTATATTATGTTCGTGCGTGCCCGCCTTAGGGTCAGCGCTTCACTGCAGGAACTGGTCCTTTTCTCGACGGTCTTTGGCAATGGCAAATCACTTCCGGAAAAAATATGCGGGGAGGGGACTGGAGTGGAAGTTGATTTGCCATTGCCTCTTCCCTAGAGCAGAGAGTGAGTGCCTGGCTAAGTCATGCCCAAGGCAGGGCTAGTAGGACTTCCGGTTTCCAAGTTGCTAGCCTGGTGCTTGAGCCTCTACACAGCAAACTAGTTCTTGTGTGTTTGTGTATGTAGACGCATACTACGCCTGCAATATAGAGAGCCCAGTTTCATCTAGTGGTTATTGGTGCTGGCTTAGAAAGCAGAAGTCTGGATTTTAGGCCTCCCTTAAGCACCACCAAAGCTGGCTGGGTAACTGCAATTCTCACTTGGGTATGTTTTATATGTGTGTGTGTGTGTATGTATGTATGTATATGTATATACGTGTGTATATATATGTGTGTGTGTGTGTATCCATCCCAATTACTCTGTCTAAGGCAAGCAACATATTATAGGGCAGCAGGATGAAAAATACAGCACTGATAAAGTAATCCTTGATATTTTAGTTTTTTTGTAGTTTGATTTGTTAGAAAACGTTTAGGTTCACCGTAAGGTTGCCCATTTATCTGATAATCTGACTTAGTGACTAAACCATAAATAGGTTTATATAAAGCAATATGCATAAAGCATGGTCTGCAGATGCCACTAATCTTAAACCAAGTAGCCATATGCTTTACATTAGTGGTTTATGTGAATTAAATTAAGCCTGATTCTTTTTCCTTCAGGGCCATTGTTGGGCACTTTGCTTTTATGGTAGGGTAATATGAGAATTAGCAATGGCACTTGTGATGCTTGGAAACATCAATTTTTATTTTTTTGAGTTCGGTTTCCTGCACAAGTGAATGACATAGATTGGCTGTTTCATGGGGTATTTTTCTGTTTGATTTTAAGCACAGATGTATAATTGCATATTTTGGAATACTGAGAAAGTGTGCTGCGTAATATAAATGAATATGATAGTGATGAGCTGTATTGTGATACTTTTAATAGAGATATTGAAGTAAAGGCCTAATAAATGATATTTTAGTGCTGTGCTAAGTGGCTTGGGAGAAAATGAGGTGATGGTGATACTTGTGCAAGACGTATAGATCACAGGTGTTCAATCTTTTGGCTTGCCTTAGTTGCATCGAATGAAGAGGAATTGTCTTGGGCTGTGTATAAAATATATACTATAGTTAATGGTAAATAAATCACAAAATGGGGACCACATTATCAGCTGTCCAGGGCTATAATTATGTTCAGTGTTTTAATAGCAGATTTAAGGTTTCATTGCCAATATTAGGAATTTTTGAATTTGATTTCCTACTAGTGTGGATGCTTAAGCGTGAAGGGTGCAGACATTACATTTCTTTTCATGGCTGGTTAAAGATAACTAAATTCAGTTTTGAAATGTTGGTGTTCTCTACAATTTTTGTGACAGAAGAAAAGCTTAGAATTTAAATTGCAATAGAAAAATTAGTTATTTTATGTAAATATATAGTCTTGTGCACCATGTACACGGGCAACCAATGTTTAAGAACATTATCCCTTCTTTAAAATAAAATACCTCAGGGGCAGTGATGGTTGTGGATTGGGTATGTGATAGATCCATCAAGTCTATTGGAATCATTGCTGCAGCTGTGGGGGGCAGGGTGGGCCTGATGTTTGACACCCCTGATCTAAATGGAAAATCAGATTGCTCAGTACAACACTTTTCATAGAAGTAAAAGGGGCCTCTTCAAATATTGAAATGTAGATGAAAGTAAATATGAAAAAGGGATAATAGTTTATGAAAATGGATATTTCCACGCTGATCGACTGTCAGCTTGGATATGGAGTAAAGTATGAGCATAATCAGAGTCTATGCCTTGCATGGTACTATGTGTGTAAGAGGGAAATAGATAAAATTAACAACTTTTGTCTTTAATTTTTTTTAGGGTTTTAAAGCAAATCTGTCACTCTTGAGACGCCCTGGAGAGAAAACATACACTCAGCGCTGCCGTCTGTTTGTTGGGAATTTGCCTGCTGATATCACCGAAGATGAGTTTAAGAGATTATTTTCCAAATATGGCGAACCAGGAGAGGTCTTCATTAACAAGGGGAAAGGTTTTGGCTTTATTAAGCTGGTAAGCGTTGATGTTCCAGATTTTTTTTTAGACTTAATACTAAGATTATTCATACGTTGAACATATTTTTAAATTAAGATTTATTAACCTATCCACAGGAATCCCGAGCTTTGGCTGAAATTGCAAAGGCAGAACTTGATGATATTCCTATGAGAGGAAGGCAGCTTCGTGTGCGTTTTGCCACCCATGCTGCTGCTCTTTCTGTGCGTAATCTCTCCCCTTATGTGTCAAACGAATTGCTGGAAGAAGCTTTCTCTCAATTTGGACCAATTGAAAGAGCTATTGTGATAGTAGATGATCGCGGCAGATCCACAGGAAAGGGCATTGTGGAATTTGCATCTAAGCCTGCAGCTCGAAAAGCATTTGAACGTTGCACTGAAGGTGTCTTTCTTCTGACAACGTGAGTAGGTCTCTCTTTTTATGTAGTTTACTAACTGAAGACTGTGGACTGAAAGTTTTAAATAAAAGCTTTAAACTTAAAGGCCAGTATTTAAACCAAACTCAATACTTGTCTCTGATTTTCAGCACTCCAACTCAATACTTGTCTCTGATTTTCAGCACTCCTAGGCCAGTTATTGTGGAGCCTCTTGAACAGCTAGATGATGAAGATGGTCTTCCAGAAAAGCTGGCTCAGAAAAATCCAATGTATCAAAAGTAAGCAGATGTAACCGTGTAGAATTGCCACAACTAAACTGTATTTGATAATTTAGAATATGTGGTCATCTTTGTTAATCTTGTTATAGTTTATCTAAAGTAGTATGCCATTCCATATTGTGATTTGACTTATTCCTGTTTTCATTTTATAAATTAGAACTTTTCTGGAAAAGTGTGTTGTCTTGAATTAAGATAGTTTGTGCATTTTTATTGTATGTTTATGAATAGTTTTCTTACTGCCAAACTGGTTCACCTAAAATACTTAAATGGGATTATTTTATTTGGTGAATTTATGTAGATTAAATATAAAAGATTCAGTTTTATTTTGAAATAATTAACATGTAATGCTTTTATGCTCTAGGTTTTTAAGCAACCTATCGTAACACTTTTCAAGAGTTGTATATTATGATACTTAAGGCATCTTAACAATTGCAATTTGATTTTGAGTTTAAATTAATTTTAATTAAATTAAAAAAATAATTTGCAAACTAAAGGCAACTGAAATAAACACTTGGACTGATGAGAAGCAATAGTACTATCAGAATGTATGGCCTATTTTGCAGGATTTTTTTTTTTTAAAATGGCAAATTGAAAATGCTCAGTAGCCCTGGGATAGTCCAGTCAAGTGAGAAACTGAAAAGTAGGGCAGTGTTAGCAGGAGATGGAGTATGTAGTCCTTTTAGCTAGAACTTAAACTTGTCAGTTCCAGCCAGACTCATGTTGTGTTCACTCTAATTACTATTTTGATGGAATAGTGCCTTTCAAAAGTAAACTGAAAATATTTTTTAAAAAAATCAAAGGCTTCTTCCTCTGTAACTGTCTTAAGACTACAGTTTATTTTGTACTTGACTTTCTGAGGAGCAGTACAATAGCAATCTGTAGATGAAGAAAAGTGCTAATGTTGTTACACTATGTTGCTAGAGTCCTCCCCCTCCCCGGCTAAACATTTGCCAGGCTTAAACTTTACCAGCACCATTGCTAGCTGTTTGCAAAATATTAATCTGCATTTCATTTTCAATTGGATTTTTTAGGGAGAGAGAAACTCCTCCACGATTTGCACAACCTGGAAGTTTTGAGTATGAATATTCTCAACGGTGGAAATCCTTGGATGAAATGGAGAAACAGCAGAGAGATCAAGTAGAGAAAAACATGAAAGATGCCAAGGACAAACTGGAAAGCGAGATGGAGGATGCTTATCATGAACATCAGGCAAACCTTTTACGCCAAGGTATAGGGCACAGATCTCTGGTTGAGATTTTGCTTGATTTCTCCCATTTTTTTCCTCAGGTTTTCACCATTGGTATTCTAATGTTTGCTTTTACTCCAGTTAAAATATAAATTTACTGTTTTTAGGTTTATTACTCACATTTATATAGCTGCCCATTTCACTATTAAAGGTGATTCTGGGTGGTTGCACAACAGTAGATAAAACAGCCAATATAAAAATCTAAAAAAAACACAATACTGGCATAATAACAAAAATACTAACCATGGTGAAGAGGGTAAAATGCTAGTTATGCTCTCAGGCCTAGGATTCCCAAGGAACCAGACAATTGTCTTGGGAGTCATCAAGACAAATAAATGATTCCCTAGGAATACTAGGCCTGAGAGTATAATCGATCTAATAAATATCAAAACTGATGATCCCACTCTAATTTCAGGGGAAAGGATGTATCATAAGGCGAGTGCCACAGTTACATTTTATTATTTGCACAGTTTTTCCCTTACAGTCTTACACTGCTGTTTCAGAAAAAAAGTTGAGTGAAAATATTTGTCTTCCATCAATTGCCTAAGTCAGTGATGGCGAACCTTTCAGAGACCGAGTGCCCAAAAACCGCCCCCTCGCCGCCTGACCCGCCCACTCCACCCCTGCCCCAGCCTGCTCCGCTCCGCCCGCCTCCATGACCCGCCGCAGATCGCCATGGCGGCCCAGCAGTGCCATGGCAGCCATGCCCTCCGCCCGCACCCTGCAGCATCATCTGTGCACAATGGAATGCGAGGGCAGAGTCTTGTCCCCGCTGCCCAGCTCCATGTGCTTGGCTGTTCTGCTCCGCGTGGGTAGCACTCAGGGGCGACTCTCTTCCGGGGGGGGGGTACTGGTGACAGGGTCGCGGGGGGGTGGGGTTGGGGCGACAGCATGTGTGCCCACAGAGAGGGCTCCGAGTGCCACCTCTGGCACCCATGCCGTAGGTTCGCCACCACTGGCCTAAGTAGTACTGTGTCTGCTAAGTATTTGCTGAATATATGAATCACCAACTAAAATAATCTGGAGGCAAACTTGTCTGTGTACAAAGTTGCTTGTTAGGCTTTTTGCATTTAACAATCAATTTATTGATGCCCATCAAATTTAGATTCTCTTTAATTGATAGAAACTCAATCTGTTAAACAACGGTTGCTTAAATGATCAAACTTGCAGATCTCATGAGGCGACAAGAGGAATTGAGACGCATGGAGGAACTTCACAATCAAGAGATGCAGAAACGAAAAGAAATGCAGTTGAGGTAATTTGAACCTATGGTTGCTAATCCTGTATTTAACTACAAGTTTTGTATGTGACTGTGGGGAACCAGACATTGCTTAGAACCAAGTGAAAGAACTAGTGGAGAATTGCTCAGCTTTGTCTCCTCCCGATAGACTTATTTTATTGTAATTCATGAAGGCTTATTTACAGTGACTATGTTTGAAGGCTTAGTTCTTAGCTTAAATAATTTTGTAAAATCAATTCAAGTCTTCTAAAAGAAGAGCAATTGTATTTTCAGGCAAGAAGAAGAGCGACGTAGGCGGGAAGAAGAGATGATGATCCGTCAGCGTGAGATGGAAGAACAAATGCGAAGACAGAGGGAAGAAAGCTACACTAGAATGGGTTACATGGATCCTGTAAGTCAGGGCTGGAAGAATCCCAGTAATCTAGTTGCCCAGAAGCTTGACTCTCACGTTGATCCCTAGGAATAAGTTTTGATACTTGTTTGAAAGACTGTTCCCAATTTTGATGATGTAAATCTGGATCTTGGAGGATTGGTCCCTGTTGTCTTAGAGCTGATCATCCTGCTGGCTTTTGTTACTTAAGAATTAGAAGTCATAGTCTCCCAGCTTCTAATCCTAGTGTGCATGACAGAGCTTTTAAGGAATTCACTTGTTCTTAACAGTGTCTGTTTGTCTTTGCAGAGAGAAAGAGACATGAGAATGGGTGGTACCAGTGCAATGAACATGGGAGGTAAAAAAAAGTTTTCCAATTAAACTCGCCTGTATAAATTATTGTGATCTATCTGATGCTAAACTCGCCTGTATAAATTATTGTGATCTATCTGATGCATAACCATTTGAATTTTTTTTAACTAGATCCCTATGGTACATCTGCTCAGAAATTCCCACCATTAGCAGGTGGCACTGGCCTTGGCTATGAGACCAATCCAGGAGTTGGACAAACATCTATGAGTGGCACTATGATGGGAAGCGATATGGTAACGTATCCTGTGGCAGCTTGACCATAGTTCTAGAGATTTTTTTGCATTAATTCCACATAACCTACACTTTTAAATAGGCTTCCTTTTTCCAGCTTGTTAATAGGAAGAGACTTGTTGAGCAATGTAAAACTAAGTCTAGTCTTTGCCAGTATAGTTACAGGTCTGCTCACATTTCTGAAATGGATATTAGCAGACTTTCCTGTGATCAGTTGGGTTGGGAGTGGTCTGGCTAAACTTGCAAGGAGCCTTTAGTTCTGTAATCTAACAAGCTGTTGGGGTGGGGTGGGTGGGTGCACACATTCTTGTTGAGTTAGCTTAACAAACAGAAGTGGTCTTGTGTCACTTTCTGAACTTGAGTTAACTGCGATGCATAGAAATGTGTATAAAATAAAGGGAGATGAAAATAAGCCTAAAAATATAATTACACTATACTTGTACTACTTGTTAATGTAATGGGCTAATCACAGGTAGAGAATATTTAGATGTAATTTACGTATCTTATTGTACACATTGGCTTTTGACACACATTATGATGTGATGAGGAAAGAAGCTGTTCTTGAGGTAGGCCACTCATTAGCAATCTGTTTCTTAAGCAAGTTGCTTGTTGACTCTTAAATAATATACGATTTCGTTATGGTGCTGTTTTAAGTTTTCTGACTAGATGGAGCTGCTGGATCAATCTAAAGATCCATCCTATTCCCAAAGTGGTTAACCGGATGCTTCGGGGGATGTCTGAAAGCAATAGCTTGTTCCCCGTTGACACCAATATTCAGGGGCATATCTTGCCTTATAGTAGCTGCAGATAGTACATTTGTTCTCTAAGCACTTCGAACTTTACTTCCTGTTCCTGTACTTGTAGGCTTCAGAGAAATTTCTTGATTTCACATTATACGTGAAGCCTTGGAGTAATATAATGGTAGTGTACAACCGGTACATAGAATTACTGAAGAATCTAAGCCTAAGCCTTCTTGTCTGGTACACATTCACCTTAAGAGTTTAATCTAACACATAAAATAGTGTTGGGGGTTAAGGGTGGAGGCTGTTCTAATACTGAAGGTTCTGCTACATGAGATGGGCTACTAGTAGCTCACGTGTCACTTAATATAGAAACCAATACCATTTATTTAACCCCAAGTTCTTAAGATTTCCTGTCGCTGTTTTGACCGTATAGCTCAAAGGAGTCTGCAATTAGTCATAGACTTCTGTTGAACTAGGTTGTCTGATAAAACCCGGATGTGTGTTTTCAAAATTAACAATGCAGTGTATCAAATGTTTAAGTATCTCATTCACTTGTCATTGGTGGCACTAGAAAAAAAAAAAGCCTGAAATTTCAGTGAAGCACTGTGCTGTCTTTCTAAAGTACGTAACTTTAACAACTTAGTAGAAATTGTCTCCTTTACGGAATTTGTTCATTCATGACACTTGGCCTGTAACTGTAAGCCAGTTGTTAGGGGAAATCTGATGGGAGTTTTACTTATATCAGTGGTGGCGAATCTACTTATATCAGTGGTGGCGAATCTACGGCATGCATGCCAGAGGCGGCACTAAGAGCCCTCTCTGTGGGCAAGCATGCCATGCCCCGGAAATAGCAATCATCCCTCTTCAACCAGCTGCCCGCTAACTTGCCCAGGTCCCACATGGCTGGATGCATCCCAGCACCCATGCACTCCCTGGCTTCTGTGTGCAGGGGCTGATGGTGTCAGGCAGGAGCTGCCCCTGCCTCAACTTGCCCTGTGACAATGGCACCCCCACCCTGCCTCGCCTCCCCACAGGACAAGTTTCCTGCCCACCGCCCCACTTGCCAGAGACCCCCTGGATCTCCCCCCAACCCTGCCCCCACAGGCGTCCCTCCCCACGAGCAACATTGAGGTGATCATGCCCATCTTGGCCACACCCACCCAATCTGCCATGACCACCACAGCCACGCCCATCCAGTGGGCCACGCCCACCTGGCACCCGGCGATAAATAACTGGGCTTTGGGTTGCAGTTTGGGCACTCGGTCTCTAAAAGGTTCGCCATCACTGACTTAATATGCTAGAAATCCAGACTCTCAGTGACTCCATGATTGGATACTTATGCAAATCAGTGAAGGGCTCATGCATATGTTTTCTCATCTGTGATGATTGTGGCAGTAGCATTTTGGAATCTAGGCTTTTGTTTGTGGGGTTATTGGGGAACAAATTGAGTGTGAGCCTTTCACAAAGAACATCTGCATGCGTATCTAGTTAAAGGATTCATACAACTAGTCGGAGGAATTATACTGAGTGAATTGGCTCTGTTGTTAAGTTTGAGTGCATTGGGAAGCTTTTTTTTTGTATAATAGTTCCTATGCTACCCTAGCAGCACCAATAATACCAACATCAACATCTTTGATTCATTACACTCTCCCTTGTGCCTGGTAAATCAAGAAATGAAGAAAGTTCAGGTAAATTGACAAGCGAACTGGTCTGCTTTATTTCAGCTTAGTTGAGCTTTTGTGGATTCAGAGGAGACCAGCTTGAGTGTATTCAGATACTGCAAAACAATAATTGACTCTGCTAATCCTTACTCTTAAAGCCGTAGGACCTCTACCGCAGTGGAGCTATTTAAAGAAGCTTAACATTGTGCAAAAGTTTAGTGCTTGTCTTGTCTTGGCAATTTAAACCAGGTGCATAATATTTCTTGTACTTTCATAGGATCAGTGGCTGTTGAAAAAACATTTGAAAAACAGTTCAAGTAACAGGGGTCTTATACCTTTTAAAAACAGGGTCTTATACCTTTTAACTAGGCATCTGCTTTTTACACAAGATGGCTGATGCTTTAGGAAGCTCCTGCAGGACTTCTTTGTACCTTCTTTGTTCACTGACTGTGTAGATTAGCAATTGCAGCAGATGACCAGAATTCCTTTCAGAGAGAATTCTTGGTTCCAACCCATACTAATGCTTGAATTTTTAGCACTTCAGGGAAAATCTGTTTGCTGAAACAGACATTTCAGAATGGATCAAGTTGGGAACATACCACAAGACATGTATTAAGTTAAACTAATTATTAAATTACCCTTTTTTCCTTTCTATGTTCCCGGTACCTGTGGATCGACTCAATGGTGATTGTATCGACGAACGTTGACTACGGAACCTTCTAAAATAAATTCTTAACACACATGGACATCAACTACACATAATGAACTCTTAATTGTTCTCATAGCGCCCTGAGCGATTTGGACAGGGAGGTGCGGGGCCTGTAGGTGGCCAGGGCCCTAGAGGAATGGGGCCCAGCGCTCCTGCAGCTTATGGGAGAGGGAGAGAAGAATATGAAGGCCCAAACAAAAAGCCCCGGTTTTAGATGTGACTAGTAGATTTTTTCATTCCAGTTTGTTTTATTTGTCTTGTTTAGACACTACTTTTTTTTTTTTAAATTCTTGCATTTTAGTAAGAAAGCTACGTTTTTATGGATGTTAGAACTTAAAATGATTTAGAATTTGTAAGTGGTCTGGGCAAAAAAAAAAAGTCTAATTATGTAATGCAGTGTTCTAAACTTAGCTTTTTTGATGTATAACGTCCCTACCTTGATGGCAATGTACTGTGTGCCATATGAAATCCCAAGTGTAAACTTTTTTTACTGTGCTTAAAATAAATAGTCTAAATGTAGCAAGATTCTTTTTATCGTAAACCTCTGAGCATAGAGGGCAAATAACGCTTCCAAAAGGCAATGAATTTCTTGAAATGAGATCTGGAGTGTTGCACAATACATGTGGCTGGGATGCTACCGTGCCGTAAAGCCTAAAATATATCTGCAATTTTAAAATCTAATTGAACTTTGATATTTCATATCAAATGAAGTCTTAACCCTTAGAAAAGGCTTTGAGAATTCTGCAAAACTTTGACTATAATTATTCAAGTATACATGTTTGGAATTTTAACTTCCTTACAATGAGGAAGCAAAGTGATTTTTGGTGAAATAGATCTTTAACTTAATGAACAATGTAGTTCAGTTTTGAATAAGGAGGTGGGAAGGAAATGGGTAAGGGCAAGTAATCTAACAGTATTGGCTGTTGTCTCCAAAGGACATTTCCATTCCAACTGTTACAAGTCAGCATGACTTTATGTATGTTATTCAGCATCTCATTCTTTTTTAATAAGACTCAAAATTTGAGATCTGGTTGATGTATTTCACTTCTAATTCTTTAAGCATTTTAGTGCCCACCAGACATTTTATCTTAACAGAATCCTTGGTGATTGAATATGATCTATTGAAGTTGCAATCCAAATATTGGAAGGAGTACTTTTTTTTCTTCTTGATTTAACCAGCGTAATCTTGATTCAAAAGGTTTGAGCATTGGTGGGCACTTGTGTATTATATTTAACATCAAAACTTCACTTAAATGTAGAAATGAAATATCCTTTCAGGATTACAGGAGTAATTAGATTAAAGCCTGACATACAGAAATCTTAAGTACCATTAAAATGGAAATATTTTTTTCCTTGGGCTACATAGTATCAACTTGTGCTGTTGACTTGGTAGAGTTGGATCATTTTGTATTTATTAAAATGCTGTAAGAAGTTAATCTGTCTTGGACTCTATACCCTCGTGCCTAAAATATACTGGGTGCTCAGTTTCCTGGTATAAAAAGGTACAGTGGCTTGCTAAAATGAAGATGAACCAGATCATTCTGTGATTAATCCTGTTGGTTTTTTTATTCAATAACTTCGGTGCTTTAAATCCTTTAAATAAGGGTGGGGAACTTCCCCCCCCCCTCTAACGGGGAGCCATTTTATATCTGTTTAAAACAGTTACTCTGGGTAATGTTGCATTTACTCTACCTTTTTTCCCAGAAGGTTGTTGAGAGAGGGGCATAAAAGTTTTGGCAAGTCAGTACTGATTACTTGCAGGCATCCTGTTTTGGCTGGTTTTTTTCCCCCTTTCAACTGTTGACACTTTCTCTTTGCTACTACCTCCAGTAGCTTGCGATAACCAGAATGCCATACGTGGTTCCCCCCATCCCTACTTTAAACGTGCTAAAGCTGAGGAAGAATCAGTTACCTGTAAGCCGCTTATAACTGCAGCGTATGAAACTTCACTGCCACCAGTTGTTAACGTATTTTCATTCTGCAAAATGGATTGACTCAAAAGCTTGTGCTTGAGCAAGCCTTTTGAAAAACCCAAGAATGGTAAAACAGCCGATATTCAAGGCTGCTGGACTGCCTCTCATTTTAGTGTTGTGGTTGAATTAAGCTATATTCCCAGAAGCTTCAAGAAGTTACCATCAAAAGGGGGAAGAACGCCCACAGTCCTTGCATTGACTTCTGATGTAGAGAAACCCTTGTGATAACAAATGTGGACTTTTAACTGTGTCCTGGGCTGCGTACAGCTCAGTTCTGCTTTTCTCACGGAGGTGTTCATGGACACCCGGCTGTAGGAAACACCAAGACTGACAGTGGTGGGGCCTCTGGAAATGGAAACTAATTTTCAGTTTATTTTTCAGATTACATGCCATTTTTCCTTAGGATGCTGGCACATATCCCAAACCATGTTCTTTTGTAGTACTGTAATCTTGGACGAGTGAAGGAAGCTGATGGTCCCATTTCCTTCCTAAGGTTCATCTCTTGTTTACATTTTGTCTAAACTTGGCTGATATTAAAACGGGAAGGAAATACTGGGGGGCCAATGTAGGTTTTTAACCCTTTACGGGACGAGTACTTTTGTCAAACGTCCTTATATAAAATACGCACAGTAGTCTGACTTCAAAGGATAACAAGCAGGCTGATCCCTCAGCAGCAAACCAATTGTTGGGGAGTTTTCACTGAATTGAATGTTCCATCTTTTAGCTTTTTTCTAAATGGATTTAAATATTTGTTTAGATTTACAGATGATGCCTTTTGAGCAGAAGCCATAACTATTCTCCTTCTGCGTGCCATTAAGCCTTTAGGTCATGCATAAGTTATCCCAATTCAAGAGTCTACCCATGTTTAACAATCATAGCATGCTATAATCACATCCTTGTTAGTTGTAATAAATGAATTTCTGTTTCTGTGCGTATTTTGTGGTATATTTGTTTTTAAAAAAGTTCTTGGCATCTCCTTGGCAACCACTTGTGGCAGCATGCTTTTCTCTGGAGTTTGAGCCTGCAATATGACACTGTTTAAAAGTAGTGGCCTGCTATGTAACAGCACTTAGACAGCATTTCCGCAGTGCATAACTGTGAGGAACGTAGTACCACAAGTGGCAATGGACATTAGCACCTGGATGTAGTATTCCTGCTTGCTCCAAGATTCTCATTGTCGCCTGCATACAGGTAGGTAAAAAGAACTATAATCTAACTTGGTGACTTTCTGTGTAATCTTGCTATGGGGGTATTCTGGCATCACACTACTGACTGTGGGATTTCAGTGCAGCACTTCTCATACGGCATGGTGCTTAGTTTTGAGGCTAACCTGGAATCAGCATTAGGCAAACGGACTATGATGCTGACACTTGTGCCTCAGACCCGTGATTTCTTTGTGCATACGACTTGCTTCTTCTGTCTTCACCGTGTGATAAAAGACATTTTTATAGAGTTCAATGGGAGGGGAAAGAGTTCAATCTCTGCATAATTTTACTATTCATGGTCTCCATTGTGTATAGGAGCGGTTGCTTTTAGTTCATATTGGCTATATATTAAAAGTTGTAGGAAAACGCTTTCATGGTCAGGCAGATAAATACATTGGTATTTTTCCCTTTATAATAGTGGTTGCTCTGTTAAGTTTGAGGTAGTATTGAATTAGTATTTTGTAACTGTAGTGTCAAGTTAATATAATACGGGTGGCTGGCTGTGGGATGATGACTGATAATGTAAAAAAATAATAATTTTAGAGCTCCCCTTAACTCTAATCCATGCATTTTACCAAAATGTATAGGTTACTTTGCTTACTACTTGATGAAAAAAAAAAACAATAGGGTTTTATATCTAATGTAGTTGATGACCAAGTTGATGAAAAAACAATAGGGTTTTTTTTTGTATCTAATGTAAGTTGCCCTTCAGAAGAACTATTAGCTTTGTTGTGCTAGCTAGGTCTATATTATATCTCTTGAAAGCATTTAATAATACTTAGCTCTTGGATCAGTTCATAAGATACAGCAATGCTCAACTTAAAACAGAAATGCAGTTCTGTCAAATTTCATGTTTCAGTGTGTTTGAAGAAGAAGAAGAAAAAAAAGCTGCTTTGTGAACAGGATTCAAAAGTGAATCTTAACAGCCAAGTAATGGTTTGGAGTTCCTATTTTGTACCTGGGTGGTTTGCAAGAGGTTTTTTTTTAAAAGTCCCTTGTCAGTACAACCAGTAAACTTTAAATCCTATGAACAGCATGTTCACCATGGGACTAGTTATATTCCAAGCTGGATATTCCAAGTAGTATTCTAATGGACTCCACAAATAAGTATGCTATGTAACTGGGCTGCAGATATATTCAACCGTAGTAACTACTCAGTTTGAACCAATATGCCAATGGCTTAATTGAAGCTTGGGGATTATATCTTTAGAGTTTCTCTTGACATAAGTGAATTTTTAGTAAAACAGGTGAATTGGATTCCAGTTTCTTATGTACATGATTAACTGCAGTTGTAAAGAGGAGTACATTAAGTTATTCTTTAAGGGCAGCAACTCTGTTCAAAACATCTCTTTAAGTGTATAAGTGGCATAAGAAATAACAAAAAGTGCTTGCATTGTATTCCATGTTAAGCTTTTATTCTGGTCCTTGATTTCCCCCTTGCAAAAAACTGACTTCAGAGCTCAGAAGTGTGATGCCAGAATACATTATGCGTACTTTGCTAGGTTCTCAGTTCCGGTTACTAGTGCTGTGTGAGGACAGAAGCACTTTCCTAACATTGGGGGGGAGGCTTTGTTACAGTATCGAAAAGCTTCTATTGGCTGAAGCTCTCTCCCCCCAAGACTAGACTAAGCAACCAGGGGGCTGAAACTCTGCAAGTAACTTCAAGCAGCTGAGCAGGAAGGCCTGTGGTAACGTCTAAAATTGGAGCCAAACATGAAGAGATTGTGCTTTTTTAGGTTTGTTTGGACCATTGGTTGTTTTCCACCATCACAGCTAGCAAGGTTGGAATCAACAGGTCAGTTGCAGATCTGTCTTTATGCTACTTGCTGGGCTTAAGCAAATGCAAGGGGAGGGGGAGAAAAAGGGAGTCTTCTCCCATTTTGTTTGTTCCATTAGCAACTGTTTGTGGAAGCCCAATGGTGGTGTATTACCAATCCCCCCCCTCAGAAAGCTTCGATATTGAATATTGGCACAATGAAATGTGGGAAAGGGATGGCTGCAGACAAATAGCTAGGGAGAAGAATATAATTTTGTATTCCTAATAACCCTTTGTTTTGCAAAAGTATTAAATCCAGATGTGGTCTTGAAACTGGCACATTGGCTGGCTTGGCAGTGTTTCTGACATAAGGGCCATTAAGAATTAGTTGCAGGTGGAAAGGGTGACCTTTCTCTTTACGCCCTTAATAAAGAACATTTGAAAATGACTAGGGACCAACCACAGGGGGGGGGGGATTTCTAATAGTCTAGTAAGTAAATTCTTCTCTGTCTTGTAAAGATTCAGAAAGCTTTTGGCTTGTCCTTCAGTTACCTGAAAAAGATGATTTGCTTTATGGGGGCGGTAGGGGTGCATGGCAGCAATTCAGAGAGGCAGTTAAATAGCTGAATGCAATGGCTTTGCACTTGCACCTAAAGGGCAGTGTACCTCTGGCTGCAACTGTCCTTCTGATTAGGCAGAATCTGTTCCAAGGGGCAGTGCAGGGTTAAGAGTAGTTGCAATTGTTCACTATCCTGTGTTTCAGTCTTTGGAATAAAATATTCATCTCCTTCTCCTTGTGCCCCTTGCTACCTCCCAATGACTATATTAGTAGCTTTTTGTAAAACTCCCCTCAATTTTACAAGTTCATAAGTTGCACTTAATGTTTAAACTTAATTTTGTTTTCAGAAATATTTCAGTCTCTTTTTCCCTACTAACTTTAATTCTTATCCTCTAGGTGAAGATAATATCAGCTGGATGATACTAGAACGCTTCCATATAAGGTAAGGCTTTTCATTTCACAAAGCTGTTTCTAAGCCCTTGGAATAAAAAATATATGTGTAAATTTGGTGACTTATTTGTCACATACAAATAAGGTCATGGGAAATATCTTAATATATAACTTCAGAAGTTGCTACAGAGAAAAATGACCTTGGAAAGCATGCTTTACTTTTCCTCTTTTTCCCAGTCATTTTTAGTTTTTCATTTTAAGTATATAAATTACTGTTACTGGCTTATGCTACATTTTTTTTATTTTCCTCTCTGTGCTATTTATTGATACATTAGCTTTAAGTCTTAAAATACTTTGTTGACCATATTCTTTCATTATTGAATGAAAACCTTAAATTTTCAGTTAGAAGTTCATGATAATCTTTTTTTTTCTATCCAAGTTCAGACTCTTACGTAATTGCAAAATTGTGCAGAATCACTAGATCTCTATAGAAGTGAACAAAACGAGTCTGCTGCCTAAAAAGGCATTCTGAAATAAAACCAATTATAATGAAACTTATTAACCTTGGATTATATTAAATTCAAAACAGCTTGTCGGCACACTCCATGTTACAATTAAAACAATTTTATTTTACAGTTGACCAATAGCCAGAATATGCCCATACAATTGAATGTTATAGAGAGAAGCACTCTGCAATACATAGGTAAGGAAACAGGTTCTTGTTGAAGGTTTGAACAGTGAAATATGGGGTGAGGCAGAAGCTGAATTACTATCTGTTAGGCATTGGTGCAGGAGATAGGCTGTTTCAGCTCTCAGATTCTCTATAGCCGAGCTGCCCGTGAAATGAATCAATTGTTGCAGTGGTTTATTTATTTATTTTTTTTTTGCAAAAAACCCCCCCAAAACAACGGCATGCATGTCAGAGCGGTTTGCAGTAGATGTACTAAGGAACATCTGTTAAATTCTACGTAGAAGGGGGGTTGAGGGTGGGTGAGTGGGTGGGTAAATAGGTAGAATAGGATAATATAGATATGGTAATTTATGAGAGAGGTGCTGCTTGGGCATTTCCCCTACGTCAGCGGTTCTCAACCTATGGGTCGCGACCCCATTTGGGGTCGAACGACCATTTTACGGGGGTCGCCAAACAACGCGATCCGCCATTTTTCCCTCGGGGCGGCGCCGTCACACAAACGTTGAGAACCGCTGCCCTACGTTGTATTCCTGTATTTGAGAGGGGAGGAAGGTGTAGGGAGGAAGTAGGATGGTAAGAGGAGAAGGGGAGGGGAAGAGAATAGGAGGGGAGGAGAGAAAGAGGAGGGAAGTAGGGAAGGTATTAGGGTGGATGCAGCTTGGGGGGAATGAGCAAGCGGCACCTATGGTTATGGTTATGATTATGAATTTATCTTGTAAAGTGATTTTTGTTGTATACGTTGAATAAATGGAAAATAAAAATTTTTTATTAAAAAAAATTCTACGTAGAAAATTTTATGGATCAGGTTGTTCATATAAAATTGTGACAGGTAGTCAGCCTTTCTTGTTTTTGCTTGATTCATATTTAACAAAATCAAAGTTACGACCAAACAAATCCAGGTTTCTGGCTGATCAGTGTAATAATCCTCTTAATGTTGTGGGGTTTTTTTTTTTTCCAGGAGAAGAATGGTACGTGTGATTGCAAAAAGGAGGAGTCCATGGATGCGGTAGCACTTTCTTGAAATCTTCAATAAACTATTAAGAAACATAACTAGTGTCAATTCTTGAAAAAGATCAATTTACAATTGGTGTTCATTTGAAATATCAGAGGGAAAGTAGGAGTGATACAATGCGCTGAATATGTCAAACTTTTTCATCTCCTAAAAACTCCTTTATAAGCAGTTATACTCTTTAGTCCAGTGGTTCTCAACTTGTGGGTCGGGACCCCATTTGGGGTCGAACGACCATTTCACGGGGGTCGCCAAACAACGCAGTCCGCCATTTTTCCCCCCCTTTTCCTTAGCTGTGCTACTCCCTTTTATTCTATTGGCTTTTGAAAGCCAATAGAATAGACTCTCTTGAATAGAGTCTAATTCTATTGGCCTTCAAAAGCCAATAGGAATTGTCCAGGCTGTCTCTGCCCTGCTGAGCCCGCCAAAAGTCCCAGTCTGCAAACAGTGCTGCACCAGTTGAGTAGTCCTCGACTTAACGACTGGTTGGGGGTCGCGGCATTAAAAAGATTGAGAACCACTGCTTTAGTAGGTTATTCTGGAATCATGCTGAAAAGCTGCATTGATTTCCCAGTGAGTTTCTGCAGTATTTTGTAACCTTCAAGTTCACTTTTGAAATTTCTTCTTCCTATTTCTAGCCTTCAGCTGTGCCCTTTCTCAATATTCTGTAATTCATTAGCTTGCTTGAGGATTGGAACCAATTTCAAATAGCTTGATTTTGGTAGAACAGCAATCTAGAAGTAGCCCATTTGAGTTACACTGATTTGGGCGGTGAACCAGGTTGGGTCCAAATTTGCTGGAAGGTTTCAAAATATCCTGAATTTCAGTTGAAGTGCTGAAAAAAGTACCCTTTGATACAAGTTACTAGTTTACGTTCATTCAGGTTTGTTTGAAAACGCTAGATCTATGTTTGGCAAAAAAAGTCAGAAATCTCTGGCTTGATTAATTAGGAAAAATAAGCTCAGTTTCTCTGCCATACGATCAGGATTGAATTTCACAAGGTTTCCATTTAAAAACACGAAATTTCTTCACCTGGATCATGGATAGAGCAACTGGCTCACTCTTGATGGCCAATAATTTAAAGCTTGATTCCTTGCCTTAAAATTTTCCTGCTCCCAGTTTCTCCCAAGTTTCACATCATTCTTTGTAATTCAGTCTAGTGGTTATGACACAAGGCTAGAAACCAGGAGAATGGGGGTTATAGTGCTGTCGTAGATAAAGTTGGTTGGGTGACTTCAGGCAACCCAGCCCATCTCAGTGTTGTTGGGAAAATAGGAAGGAGTATTGGGTATGTTCGCTACCTTGAATTAAAAAAAAACCAAAAAAGGTGAGACATAAAGATAAGTAAAAGTACACTTATTTACAAAGCCAGACAAGTTTAACCCCTATTCAATTACTGATAAATATTGCATGTAGGTCAAGCTTGAATTATTTATATGTAGGCTCAGACAAGGAAAGCTAAGAGGAGGCAGCTGGAGTAATTTACAGAAGAGGACAAATAGTATTGCTCTTCATCCAGTGGCAATGAAGACAGAGTATAGTACCTGTCTGGCTTTTGGGGACACAAGGAGGGCCTCCATTAGTCCATATCTACCTGCGTGCTTCTCCCAATATTACCAGCCACGCGTTTCAGATTTATTGGAAAGGCACAGTGGATTTCCTCAGGTAAGTTTGCTTTCACTGATATCCTTAGTTTACAATGGGTGAATAAACCCTACAAGTGGTAGGCAAGGCTCGGAGAACTAGCACCCCGTCTTGCAAAATTTGTCTTTAGTTTAATAAACATCAACTAAAAATGCAGAAAAAGAAATGTCTATTTCAGTTTCACCTCTCAACACCAATTTTTTTTTTTATCCAAAACCAACTTTTATTTCTAATGCTCTTTTAACCCCTTCAAATACTGCCCTGGAACATTTTTTTCTTTTGTCCTTTCTTAAAATCCTTCAAAACTTAAAAGATTTTTGTAAATTCAATATAGGAAAGTTAAGCAGATCACTGAATTCTAATATCCAAAGGAAGTGTAGTGCATCCGAGCAGCTGTAGAAAACAACTCAATATATTGGGAATGGAATGTGCTGATATTTGGCAGAAAACCAGACGACAAAAAAGTCAACATTTGCAATGTTTTCCATCCTATGATGAATCATTTTCCAGAGTGAGTTTTGTGACTGCCACCTGATACGAAAGAATGATTCACCTGATTGCTAGCATTTGCTTGTGTGTGTGTATGCATCAACCCCTTGAGAAATTTGATACTTGTCTTCCACAGATATTCCCATTGTTTCATATTGTAATGGAAAACATGGTTTTGGGAACTGAGCGAACTTGGGGTGGAAGCTTTCAGAAAAGTACTCAAATCCTGATTAAAAGGAAAGCATAAGGAAAATAAATAGTTCCCAACAACCATTCATTTAGGAACTGTTTGAAGTTACAACAGCACGGAAAAAAAATGACTACTCCTTAAATGTGATAGTGTCAAAGCATCCTTATGGTCACCTAATCAGAATTTGGGCACTTGGCAACCAACATGTTGCAGTGTCCTGGGATCAAACGATTGCCGTTTGTGACATTCCCGGCAAAAGTCAATGGGGAAAGCCGGATTCGCTTAACAACTGCATGACTCACTTAAGGAAGCAGTTATTTAAATATCAGGCGAACTTTCAAAATTCTGTGGTTCTACCCTTCCATAATTTTGTACCCATTTCTCAACCTGGACTGTTTTTGAAAGGCGGAGACATCAATTGCCCTGTTTAAATTATACATTTAATCACGCAACTTTAGCTTGTTTCTGAATCATCTTTCAGTGGAGCTTACATTTATGCCCTAGTTACACATCTTGCAAATCTCTTTTAAGTATGCCAACTATATTTGGGAGCTGCTTATTTTAAGGTAGTGACATCAATGAGGTGTTAACAGTGTCTCAAAATATTTCATCTTGGTTTCATTGAAGGTTAAATCTAGCAGTGATCTGTGGATTTGCTGATCGAAGTTAGCACGTTCCTCTTCAGGAAAATATTGAAGGAAGACAATAAACCTAGGCTTAGCCCGTTTTATTTCTCTCATAAACTTTTAATTGCGTATTGTCAATGATCTATGCACTGAAATATTACACCAGAGATATTAGCAGGCCTTCTAAGGGTCCTTACAGTTTTATTTTCAATACCTTTCCAAAACAGAACAGGTGCCTGAATTCCAAAGTCCAGGATAAGAATAAGTTACCTTCGCTCAAGCTTCCTGAGGCGAGAATTCATGGTTGCTGGAATTGCCCTTCTTCCAACGTGAATTTGGACAACAGCTTGAAGAAAAAGTGTACCTACTTTCATTTTTCTAAACCCATCCGCCTTATCCCAAAGCCAGTGCCTCGCAAAACCAGCCGTGATGTCCTGCCGTGTGGCCGTAGACAATTAGCTCACCACACCGCACATGATTTCATCGTCGCTGGGTTGAACTGCAGAGTATTATGGCAGAGAGACCTCCCATTGCCGCCCAAGATGAGAAGACCAAAGCTGGAGCTCCACGTTTACCTTCCCAGCGAGAAAGATGGTGCAGGTGCTAGGTCGTCTGGGAAGAGATGGAGCACAGACGGAGTGCTTTAAGCTTGCAAAATTCCAGACTGAAGCAAATCTAAAGTCTTCAAACACTCAATGCTTTGTAACCCGAAGCCCAATGCATTGCCTGATGCTGATACAGATCTCTACAAGACACATACGCATCTATAGAACATTTAGTTTGAGGTTGAACTGTGAGGTCTTTGTTGTTCTCTGAGCTTGGTGTTTTTTTGTTTTTTGTTTTTGCAGACACAACTAGATAACTTCGAGGACTCCATATATCTGATTATTCTTTTTCATGGAAAAAGTGGGGAGAAAAAAAGGTTAACAAATATAAGAATGCAGCTAAGAAAACACCAATATTTACTTTGCATTATTTACTGTCCCTTATCCTACCCCCATCTTTGCAAATCTTTGCTTCATATTTCATACACTCCCTTTCATTTCCCACACAAGAACGAAAACTGCCGATGAGAAATGTACTTGCTCCCCCCCCATCAGACTTGCCCCCAACCTTGGTAGCCTCTCCAAGACATTAAAAACCCGTTCAGCCTGGGGCCCCTGATAATCCATGGTTTAAGCCTGCTTCTTCCTCATACAGATGGAGAAGCATTGCAATTATTTTAAATATACCCAATAATTTTAACCAAAGGAGACGTGGGGGCCCCTTCTAGAGCAGTGGTTCTCAACCTGTGGGTCGGGACCCCATTTGGGGTCGAACGACCATTTCACGGGGGTCGCCAAACAACGCAGTCCGCCATTTCCCCCCCCCCTTTTCCTTAGCTGTGCTACTCCCTTTGATTCTATTGGCTTTTGAAAGCCAATAGAACAGACTCTCTTGAATAGAGTTTAATTCTATTGGCTTTCAAAAGCCAATAGGAATTGTCCAGGCTGTCTCTGCCCTGCTGAGCCCGCCAAAAGTCCCATTCTGCAAATGGTGCTGCACCAGTTGAGTAGTCCTCGACTTACGACCGGTTGGGGGTCGCAGCATTAAAAAGGTTGAAAACCACTGTTCTAGAGAATGCTTCATATGCTTCATATTGCGAGGTACACAAGAAATGTACATGTTGTAATTTTCCATTTCTGTTAAAGGAATAGGCATATAGAGGCACTTGGCTAAAGTATTTTTAGCAAAGGAGATGTGGTAAACTGGAGGAATAGAGAAAAACTATATACACTTTAGGATAGTGCACGCTATTGTACAATAGCCTACAGCTTATGAATAACATACGATTCAATTTATATAAAGTTTAGTTTTTATAAAAACTGCCTAGAGTTAGTATTTTGAAGTATAACTATGAACCAAAGTGCAGCCACGTTTAACCAAAGGATGAACTCTGTTACACACATAGCTTGTAATCTAGATGAAAAGCAGGCACTCTTATAGATAAACAAGGGAAGACATAAAAAACTTTATAATTGCAATTATCCAGTTTGGATAACCGTTCCCCTTGTAGATAAGGGCACACCCTTAGTTAGCAGGATGTTACAAATCATGCCACAGAAAAGGGGGTCGAGATAAGACAGGAACAAAAAGGTGCTTTTTGATCTAATAATTGGAGGGTTTGGTAAATGTAATGCTCGCTAGGAAAGCAAGTGACCGGGTGGGCCTATCAACTGGGCTCACTTTGGAAGGATTGTGGCGTGATGCATGGGGGGGACAGGGTGTAAAAACCTATGTAAAAATTGATTCCAGGGTGGACTCTGGGCTTTGCCATTACCAAGAGTTCCACCAGCTTTTGCACAAGCTTTAATAACATTTGTTTTTTTTTCATCCCCAACATCCTTGGAGTTGGATTTTTTTTATTCCTCACCAAGGTCACAGAAAAGACGACCACGAACTTGCTCTGTTTGGAAACTCAAGTCCCTGGCTCTTTCTTTCTTTCTTTCTTTCTTTCTTTCTTTCTTTCTTTCTTTCTTTCTTTCTTTCTTTCTTTCTTTCTTTCTTTCTGAGACTTATATACCGCTTTAAGTGCAAGCACTCTCTTGTACACCAGTAAGCAATGTATATATATATATTTACATTGCCCCCAACAATCTGGGTCCTCATTTTACCTACCCCGGAAGGATGGAAGGCTGAGTCAACCTTGAGCCGGTGAGATTTGAACCGCTGACCTGCTGAACACAGTCAGCTAAAGTGGCCTGCAGTACTCTTCACGCGCGATTTTTCACCTGCCCACGCGCCCCGTCCGTGAAACCCCTTCCGGGAGCCTGCAGCTCTCTGCATATGCCCCGGAGCCCTCTCTCCTCCTGACACACGAAGCCGCCCAAGGGCGCCCCGAGTTGCATCTTTTGGTTTTAAGCGCCGGTGGGGCGGGCGGAGCGTTTTACGCACGGATGGTCGGCCGTTGAAAGGCGGGCTGCTCCCGCTGGCTTCGTCCGGGGCGGCTCTCCCAGCCTCCTTTCTCCGCCTCCGGGTCCACCTCCCCCGGCTGGCCGCCAACAAGCGGGCAAAGGCGGGAGAAACGGCCAGCCGAGGCGCGACGATGGCGCTGCTCTTCTCCGCTCTCCGGGTGCTGCTGGGCCTTTTCTTCGCCGTCTGCGGGGTCGTCAAGCTCACCGACCGGATCGCCGGCGATGCCCACCGGCAGCTGGTGAGTCGGGCGTCGCCGAGGCGGGAAGGGAAGCCCGCTCGGGCCGTGCAACCCTCCGGACCGCCGCGCGGTCGAGCCCCCCGCGGCCCTCCAGCACAGCCCTGATCTAGCGACCTAAGCCGAGCGGATCTGCGGGAGATCCTCAGTCTAAGGCAGGGGTCCGCCAAGCTTGGCCACTTTAAGACTTGTGGACTTCAACTCCCAGAATTCCTCAGCCAGCTTTGCTGGCTGAGGAATTCTGGGAGTTGAAGTCCACAAGTCTTAAAGTGGCCAAGCTGGAGGACCCCTGCTCTAAGGCCTGGCAGGCTGGCTCGTTAGAAGTCCTTCAGGGGCTGCGCAGGGCGCGTTGGCGCGGCTCGGGAAGGCCGCTTCTCGCAGCTAAGGCGCTGCAGCTCGTCCTCGCTTGCTGCCGTCCCGGTCCTTAGCTAGGGCTAAATCCCGCTAAGTAGCCCAGCAGGCGGCAGAGCTTTGGGCTTACCTGTCCAGTGGCTTACCTGTCCAGGTGCGCGTTTGCAAAAGGAAAGGTGCGCAGCTTCCCGGGCGCACCAGCCCGCACCGAAGGGCTCTCTCTTCGGAGGACGCTTCCTATTCAGGCCGGCGATTCCCTTTTTTTTCCCCCACCTCCCTGGGATTTCTTTGGCATTTTATCTTTTTCCCTCCTCTGGGCTTTTTTGAAAAAAACGAACAACACAAAAGCCTTATCTCTTCTGCTTCTTCCTCTAGTCTCCTCTCTCATTGTAGACACACAGCCATTGTAGACACACACCTACCCATCCACCCCCCCTCCCAGAGAGAGAGAGAGAGAGAGAGAGATTTGTAGCAGAGGAACTAAGAACCTCTTGATGCAGGTGAAGAAGGAGAGTGCAAAAGTTGGCTTCAAACTAAACATTAAGAAAACCAAGATCATGGCATCCGGCCCTCTCAATTCCTGGCAAATAGATGGGGAAGAAATGCAGGTAGTGACAGATTTTATCTTCTTGGGCTTCAAGATCACCACACATGGGGACTGCAGCCAAGAAATTAAAAGACGCTTGCTCCTGGGGAGCAAAGCTATGGCAAATCTAGACAGCATATTAAAAAGCAGAGAGGTCACCCTGCCAACAAAAGTATATATAGTCAAGGCCATGGTTTTCCCAGTTGCAATGTATGGCTGTGAAAGTTGGACCATAAGATAGGCTGAGCGCCAAAGAATGGAGGCCTTTGAACTGTGGTGCTGGAGAAGACTCCTGCAAAGTCCCCTGGACTGCAAGGCGATCAAACCGGTCAGTCCTAAAGGAGATCAACCCCGACTACTCTTTAGAAGGCCAGATCCTGAAGTTGAAACTCAAATACTTTGGCCACCTAATGAGAAGGAAGGACTCACTGGAGAGGAGCCTGATGCTGGGAAAGTTGGAGGGCAAGAGAAGAAGGGGACGACAGAGAATGAGGTGGCTGGACAGAGTCACTGAAGCAGTAAGCGTGAGCTGAAATGGACTCCAGAAGATGGTAGAGGACAGCAAGATCTGGAGGAACGTTGTCCACGGGGTCGTGATGGGTTGGACACAACTTTGCAACTAACAACAACAACAACAAGCAGATCTCAATTGGAGTTGGGGATGTTTTAAAGCTGGTTACAGTGTAATATGTCACCATATTGGATGGGTTTCATTCTGTCTCTCCTCCCCCAGGACTTTTGGCCATCAAATTTCCTGGAATCTTCTTGCCCTGCCTCAGTTTACGAAATTAGTTGGAGGGAGGGAAGAATCGCAGAGTTCATGGCACTGCCCTCTGTGTAAACCGCCTGGGTGTACACTTCAAATTAAATCTGGGAAGTTTCTTTGGCCTTCAGCCAGCTTTCCATTTGTAGAAACATTTTGGTGCCCGATGTTTGAATTTTTGTATTTGGGAGAGAGCATGTTGCAAGATTTTTTTGGAACAGAGAGTTGCCTGGATCCAATCTGGATTGTTCACTGAGGGTTTAGTCCTCTGAGCTTTGGGACTTGTGCTGGAGCCCATCCTTAGGGAACTTCTCTCTCCCCAGAATGGAACAGAGGGCTGCCTGTTTTGTTTCCCACTGGACTGATGGAAATTACTTTGTAAACTTAAAAAAAAAAAAATGAAAATGAAAAATGGGCTGGGAGGAAGAAAGAAGCCTCTTTGGGTTAAGATGAGCCGAACGATTTTAGAAGATTTTAAACCCACTTGCAGATCTATTGGGATTGTTGACCGTTAAGAAATAAATAAGACCCTTTTAGAATGCATAATAGAAGGTGGAAAAGATACAGTTGAAGCAACATGCAGGAAGTTCTTAACTTACAACCACATAAGGTGGACTGGAACTTCTATCTCTAAGAAGTTCGGTCATTGACCGTTTTGAAGCGAATTACACAATGGTTAAGCAAATCTGACTTTGCTTGTGGGAAGCTGGCTGGGAAGGTCTCAAATGGTCATTGCTTGAGCTTGTGTGTGTGTGTGTGTGTGTGTGTGTGTTTGTGTGTGTGTGTGTAAGTTTTGTAAATAATGCGAATTGCCAAATGCCTGGATTGCCCTCCCTTGACAGTGAGGATACCGAGACAGTCGAAAGTACAAAGACCTGTGATGAGTCAATTTTTTCCACATCTGTTGTAACTTTGAATGATCGCTAAACAAATGGTCACAAGTTTATTCATTTGTTCAATTTCTGTGGCTATTCATCTCAGTCAATGACTTTGGCCAGCTTATAATTTTTATTTTTATCTATCTATCTATCTATCTATCTATCTATCTATCTATCTATCTATCTATCTATCTATCTATATATATATATATATCTCGGTTAAAAATATGACTGTTAAAAATATAAAAACGGTAGAAAGTGGAGAGACAGACGACATCAAAGACATACCACAACGGCATCAAGTAACAAGGGTGGAGGCTGCCAGAAGTGCAAGCACCAGAACTTATCTCCCCCCCACACCCAAAATAGTAAAAGAGGAAGGAAAGAAAAAAGAAAATATTAAAAACATTTTGAAACCATTAAAACAGTAAAACCAATAAAAGCACACAAAAACAGCCAAATTAACTAAATGTAGGAGCGAAGGTACTTGGCCAATTAGCAATAGAGCCAGGAAACGGGGGCCCTTGACGTATTCAGCCCCCCCAGGCTCTGGAACATAACCAGGTTTTTAGGGCCTTGTGAAAGGCTAATACGGTTGGGGCCATTCTATGTTCCATAGAGCAGGGGCCACTGCAGAAAAAACTCACCAATCGGCGTTCTTTGTCTGGAACGATCTGCAGATGCCCATTCTGATTGGCCTGGTTGGATTGAGAAGAGGCTCTTGAGAAAAAGCAATCCCTTAAATCAGGACTGGGGAAGTATGGCCCTTTTATGAGTTGTGGACTTCAACTCTCAGAATTCCTATGCTGGCTCAGGAATTCTGGGGGTTGAAGTCCACAAATCATAAAAGGGCCATATTTCCCCACTTCTACCTTAGGGCAGAGGTCCCCAACTTTTGGGGCACCCAGGGATTGGTTAAACCAGTGGTTCTCAACCTTTTTAATGCCGCGACCCCCAACCGGTCGTAAGTCGAGGACTACTCAACCGGTCGTAAGTCAAGGACTACTCAACTGGTGCAGCAACGTTTGCAGAATGGGACTTTTGGCGGGCTCAGCAGGGCAGAGACAGCCTGGACAATTCCTATTGGCTTTTGAAAGCCAATAGAGTTAGACTCTATTCAAGAGAGTCTATTCTATTGGCTTTCAAAAGCCAATAGAATAAAAGGGAGTAGCACAGCTAAGAAAAAGGTGGATAAAAAGGCGGACTGCGTTGTTTGGCGACCCCCGTGAAATGGTCGTTCGACCCCAAATGGGGTCCCGACCCACAGGTTGAGATCCACTGGGTTAAACCGTGGACTGGAGGGGACGTGGTTTTGTGTGCTATCACCAGGGGTTGGGGTCCCCTGCCTTAGGGCACAGGTTGTGGGCTACTTGTATCACATCAATGTGTGATCATTTTTCGATGTGGTCTCTTTTGTTTAGCCGTCCACCTTTTCTGGATTATTTGTGTCTTGCTGCTGTAAAATTTGGCTAACCTTCTTCTGCTCCTTAGTCTTCTTTGGCGCTTAACGCTCCTTTTCCTTCCTATTCCAGAAAACCCAGTTTGTGCAATTTGCAGATGTCTTCCCTTTGAAGGAGTTTGGCTACAAGCCAGAGCCAGGACTGTACATGGAAACGTTGGGCTGGATTGAACTGATAGGAGGCTTTCTTTTAGCCTTCGGGCCTCAACTGCTGCAAGAAATCAGCAATTTTGTGCTTACCGTGATCATGATAGGTAAGGATAGTCCTGTTAATGAATTTCTGACCTGGATCTGCTCCTGAACTATTTCTAAGATTATTTCTTAGAGTTTACTGGTTTGTGGGAAGTTAGCATAGGCCCCCGGGCCTTGTGTTTGACATGTCTGAGTTAAAGAGTTGATGGACCCCTGCTTCAACTGGACTGGATCTCTATCACATATCTGATTTCTATAGGTAAAGCTGTGTTTATTTTCCTTGTATTTTGCAATTTGACAGACAGACTATTTACACATAAACAACAGTGAGCATGTAAAGAGAATGGAAACCAGTCCAGTTTGGGATAGCCGTTGGGAGTCTTTGATTGCAGTTTGGTTTTATAATTCTGCCTCCACTTTCTCTGCGTGTGATGCTGCAGGTGCCATCTACTCGCTCCTGGTTCTGAAAGAGCCTTTAGCCATGTGCGTTCCAGCCACTGTCTCCTTGGGCCTTTTGCTGCTCCTCAACATCCGTGGAAGAGACAAGTGTGTGAAGTCAAAGTCTGAATGAAGCGAGGAGAAGGAGATCTGGAGAGATAGGAAGGATCCAAAGCGAAGCTCTTGAAAGAACAGACAACATGTGTTTCCCATCCTGCTCACTGACTAATCTGATCATGTGGACTTTACAGTGTGTAATCCAGAAACGGGGTTAGATCTTTACGGTCGTGACCTATTTGGGGCCCTGCTTTAATTGTCAGCTTTGCCAGTTTTCCATCCCTTTTTAGACCTGACTGGAGATCTTGTCTTCACTACAAAACCAGTTGCTCTCTCTTCGATCAGTGGATCCTTATTGTGTCCAGGCCAGGAGACAACACGGAGCAGAAGAAAATAACCACATTACAAGGGGCCGAAAATGAGGGTTGGATGGGATTGTTGTTGGGCCCCAAAGAATATTATTGAGGGTAAAAAGACCCTGGAATTCTGCAGAATGATGTTAATCAAAGGGCTCAGATAGATGTTGCATCAGTTGTATATTGTACTGCTTCATTTCTGGATTTTATTAACTTTGCTATCAACCCATCTTGGCCTGATCTAGATTAGGACTTATTTTTGTGGGTCGAGGAAACCTACGTTAATCACTATTCCTCATCCCTTTCCAAAGAATTAAATTTAATTCCATTTACCTGCTTAAAAAAACCCAAAACCATAGGCATCGAGCAAAGGTGCTTTTTATCATTCCAGTTTTGTTAATTGCTCGTGAATTTGGTGAAATAAAAGGAGAATTGAATAGCTTTCTTCTAATAAGTATGGCGTGATCTTGAGCCGTTGCTATTTTTAAGACATAAATCTAGGAACGAAAAGCGGTGACAAAATCACTGGATTCTATGCCATGTGCCTTTATGATAATTTTGTAAAAATCAGTAGATTCAAATTTTATGTCCATATTTGGAGGGCTGAAAGTTGGTTGGGGGCTTCTGACTTCTTTTTTTTTTAAATTAAGACAAGTGGAAGCAGTTCACTGCTTTGGATTCAAGATCGAAAAGATGCTCCAGAGCGGTGTTTCTCACCGTTGACAACTTTTGTGTGGACTTCAATTTCCAGAATTCTGGGAATTGAAATCCACACTTCTTAAAATACCGATAAAGGAGAATATTTTTAGCTCAGGGTTGAAATGATGGACCTTTGGTGCTCTCTGAGCTTATCAATAGATAAACACAATACATAGAGTAGTGGCCAAAATTGTGGAAACTGTTTGCGAAAAGTGTATTTTTGAGATTTGATGGCTAATAATACCACTTTTTTTGGAGTATTACCATAAAATTATATATCAATGGAAAGATAATTTAATCAATAACGTAATGCAACATAGTTTGTTCAATTATCTGTACTGTATTCTATGTAAAGTTATAGCCAAATAATCAGAAAACGGAAGCACAACTTGCTTAGGTTGATCTCAGGTAGCTTTCCTTCATCTGATTGTAGCCAATGAGCATGAGTGTTTAGAGAGCCAATCAGGTGTCATCTTGTTTTGGCCATGAGCCAATCAGATCACAGTTTGATTCAGTGATTCATATCACGGATTGAAGCTGAGAGGAGGATATTTGTCTGTGTTGTGGGATCGCCATCAAGTCTGTTGGGTTTTTTTGTATTCTTTCATTTAGTGAGCTTGTAAAACGTAATAAAATTAAAAGTCACGGTGCAAAGAGTTGGCTGGTCGCCCAGAAAGCAATGTAAAATAGTATTATTAAGTGAACAAGGCTACAGTTATAAAGAAATCAGAAGAAAAATGGGTGGAAACTTAACCATTTCTACTGTACACTTTCCCCAAAAGGTTTACACAATTTTGGCCACTACTGTAAACACAAAGCGTGCAATAGAGACAATCAGCAAACCAAAAAGGGAACAAAAAGACCAAAACACCTCCCCACCAGCATTCAGCACCCAGATGAGCATAGATTAACGCCAAGACTAAGATCAGAACAACAGTCAAGTAAACAATATCCCAATCAAGGAATTGCCAGACAAACCAACAGGAAACAGTCCAATCAAAGTATCTCGAAGACCATCCCCATCGACACTGACAGGGCAAGCCATTAGAATATAAATGACAGCAAACTACGCCCATTACTAGCACTGGTGATTTTACCTGGTTTGATTAATTCAAGGTCTGCAAGAAAACCAGCTCATATCTTAAAGGAAGACTTCAATATGTATCTTGTTGAAAATTGCATACAAAAAGGCATGCAGTAGGGAAAAATATTTGGAAAACATTCGTCTGTTAGGGAGAAATGAAAAGTATAACATTTTCTAGGCCTATGAAAATGATTCCATTATTTTGTAAAATCACTATGATGCCAACAATAGAATTGGTCTTTTAAAGTTGTCAGAAATGTGTTTGTTCATTTCTCACAAGGATTCATTATTTCTGTTTGCTTATTTGTCTCATTCACCTTGAATATTTTGCCAGCCAAAGGGTTACATTCAAACAAACATTTTAAAATTATTACTGCAAACTCTTTTTTTATGCTGGGTTTACTATTTGGCTTGTGTTTTTTGATGCTGGATTTGACCTCTGGATGATTTGTAGGAATTGTTACAGCACCTGCTTAACTTGTTTCTGCATTTTGACCCCATTTTTCATTATTACTATTTTTTTAATGGAGGGAATGTTAGAGGAAAACCCATGGTAGACTCTTTAAAAATAAAATACTGCATCCAGTTTTGGTTACCACGATGTAAAAAAGATGTTGAGACTCTAAAAAGAGTACAGAGAAGAGCAACAAAGATGATTAGGGGACTGGAGGCTAAAATGTACGAGAAACGGCTGCTGGAATTGGGTATGTCTAGTTTAACGAAGAGAAGGACGAGGGGGGACATGATAGCCGTGTTCCAGTATCTCAGGGGCTGCCCCAAAGAAGAGGGAGTCAAACTCTTTTCCAAGGCGCCTGAAGGCAGGACAAGAAGCAACGGGTGGAAACTAACCAAAGAGAGAAGGAAACCTAGAACTAAGGAGAAACTTCCTGACAGTGAGAACAATTAACCAGTGGAAGAACCTGCCTCCAGAAGCGGTGAATGCTCCAATAATGGAAGTTTTTAAGAAGAAATTGGACAGCCAATTGTCCGAAATGGTATAAGGTTTCCTGCCTGAGCAGGGGGTTGGACTAGATGACCTCCAAGGTCTTCCAACTTTATCATCATCATCATCATCATCATTATTATTATAAAACACTTATCCCTGAGGACGAATAAAATTTGTAGTGGACTCTTGTCTAACCTTAACCCAAGTTTTAATGAAATTCTCTCTTGCAGTCCTACGAAAATATTTTGCAGTGTGGCTCCTTAGCCTAACATTCAAGTATAATACACATAAATATAGATACTCCTCGATTTATGACCACAATCGGGACCGGGACTTCTGTTGCTAAGTGATACGGGCGTAAAGTGAGTAGCACCTTATTTTACAACTTTTTTTTCCTGTGGTCTTAAGTGAACCTGATTTTGCTTGTTAAAAGCCTCTTGGGAAGGTTAGAAGTGATCCTGTGACCTTGGGAGCTGCAGCCATCAAAAATATGCTGAGTGCTGGAATTGAGGTCACATGACCTCAAGGATATTGTGACGGTCGTAACAGCAAGGACTCTTTTTGCGAGTCACTTTTTTCCAGTTCTGTGATAACTGACCGGTTATTAAATGGATGGCTGCAAGTCAAAGACCAGAAAGCATCTTAGCGGCAAAGTGCTGTGAAAATTGTTACTGGAAATGAAATGTTAAAATGTATTAAGGTCACACAATATATATATGTATGTATGTATGTATGTATGTATGTATGTATGTATATGTGTATGTGTGTGTGTGTGTGTGTGTGTGTGTGTGTGTATACACATACAAACATATGATTTTAGTAACGAATTTGAAGATTTGTTGTTTGTGATGCATTTGAGCAATATCCTGATCAAAATGGGGAAAGGTCAGTTTGTCTTTCTTTTGAGACTCTCCTGCTCAGTTCATTCAAGATGTTAAGCCAGGGGTCCCCAACCCCCAATCCATAGACCAGTTCCGGACCGCAGCTGGCCAGCAATCGGTCCGCACAAACAAGCATAGCCCCATATGTGTGGGATGCAGGCAGCAAACAAAACCATGCACCCTCCGGTCCGTGGAAAAACCTCTCTCCACAGAACTGGTCCTTGATGCCCAAAAGGTTGGGGACCTCGTGTGTTAAGCCGTAAAAGTGTTTGCTTTGTGTTTGGTGAATCCCCCGATTGTGGTCTACTCAATCAATACGGATATGTAACCCATCTTATTCGCACACCCAATTCAGCTTCATGGGACAGGCACAAACTCATTCAGCAAAAGGTAATCTCTCGATTGGCGTAACTATCTAGATCATCTCTTGTTACTGCGATGGTCTGATTCATGTAACAGGCTGGCTTTGCACAATGTGTTATCCACAACCGTCCTAATCCTATTGTTTTTGTTTTGTTTTGTTTTTTGTTTGCCTAATTTAGGAAGTTGTGCAAACCAGAGCCAGGAGATGTGTTTCTAGCTTTATTGGGAAAAAAAAAAAAAAAAAAGACCCAAGGGCTAATTTTCTGTCTCATTTTCTGCACCAGTCCTCTGCCTCCCTGGATGAGTGACATGCGGGGGAAAAAAATTCTTAAAATGCTTGGCCGATTAATCCAGGCCGATCCCCCTTCCCTCTTTTGTCCCACGCCCTCCTTGCATATCGCAGCATGCCCACGAAAGGCATTTTTTCCCCGCGGCTGTGGCCCAGACTTCAAGGTTCCTTTGATGCTACGCCTCTGTGAAAGCTCCCCGAAGCTCTTAAATTCGATCTCTCCCTCTCTTGTCTCCTTCCTGGCCTTCTTCAGCAGCTGTTGTGCTCGGGAAGCTGAGCTTTTTGAGGCTGCTTTGACGCTCCTTTGAGGCTTTTCTTTGTTGCCTGAGTCCAGCTGCTCTCCACCAACCATCTCTGAATACAGCGGCATGATAGTGGCCCGTTCCCTGTTCTGGTAGCCGCTCTCTCTGCTCCTGCTTTGGCTGTTGTTTCAGGTTGCTCAGTCCTGCTTTTCTTCTAAGGCGAAAGGTGAGAAAGCCAAATAAGTTGTGTACAGCTTGAGGGTGTCCTCCAGTGTTGCTGGGACCAGAGGGAAGATCAGTATAGATAAGCGTGGTTTGAACCTCAGTTAGATGACAGGACAGCAAAAGGATATTGGGAAAGAAGTTGGGGCAGGTGGAAAAGGATGTTTGGGAGCCTCAGGGGCTAAGGCAAGGCTGGATATTATGGGTATTTGGGGATCTGTAGTTCCAACACACTTGAAGGGCACTGTACTGGATTAGGGAAAGTTGATGTACAGATGATTCCTTGGTTCTGACTTGGGAAGGTCCTTGTCAACCTTCCAAGGTGGATCAGACTACGAAACCAAAAGCACGCATGCTAATAACTGCACTATTTTTATTAGAGGTTTATAGGAACAGAATCCTCTGAATCCGTTTGCCCCCCTCCCTTTATCTTCACGAGAACTAGGGAGGTTTGGTCTGAGATGCTTTCTCAGGTTACAGATCTGCCCAGGACTCAGATTTCATTTATCTGATGGTTGTCTTGGTCATAGCTCTTCCTCCTGTTCCTGTTTCTCAGAGTTAACTTTATGCATATTATAGCCCTTGATCAAGTTATTCTGTGATTCCATCCTTGCCTACCTGCCTGCCTGCCTGCCTGCCTGCCTATCTACCTCTCTCTCCCCCTCCCCATCCATCCGTCCGTCCATCCGTCCATCCATCCATCCACCCTCTCTATTTCTATCTCT